CTTCTTGACAAAGCATCAGCTACTACATTTGTAGAGCCTTTTTTATATTTGATGACATAAGGAAATTGCTCAAGATACTCAACCCATTTTGCATGCCTCTTATTTAACTTATGTTGACCCTTCAAGTATTTAAGTGATTCATGATCACTATGGATAACAAATTCCTTGGTCACAAGGTAATGTTCCCAAGTTTGAAGGGCACAAACTAAAGCATATAACTCCTTGTCATAGGTAGGGTAGTTCAAGGCAGCCCCATGAAGTTTTTCACTGAAATAGGCTATGGGATGGCCACCTTGTAACAACACAGCTCCTATGCCAAGACCCGAAGCATCACATTCTAGCTCAAAAGTTTTGCTAAAATCAAGGAGAGCTAGAACAGGTGCTTGAGTGAGTTTTTGCTTAAGCTCTTGAAAAGCTAAATTATGTTTTTCTTGCCATAAAAAGACCACATCCTTCTTCACCAACTCATTAAGAGGTGAAGCTAATGTAGAGAAGTTAGGAACAAATCTTCTATAAAAGCTTGCCAAACCATGGAAGCTCCTAACTTCACTAACATTAGTAGGAATAGGCCATTCTTGGATGGCTTTGATTTTCTCGGGGTCCACATGAACCCCATTTTTGCTTACCACAAACCCTAAGAAAATAACATTATCCACACAAAAAGTGCACTTGTCTACATTGGCAAACAAGTGATTGTCTCTAAGGACAAGAAAGACTTGTCTTAGGTGATCCACATGATCACTTAGACTTTTGCTATAGATTAAAATATCATCAAAATAAACAACTACAAACCTACCAATGCAATCCCTAAGGGCATGATTCATTAGCCTCATGAATGTGCTAGGTGCATTAGTAAGCCCAAAAGGCATTACTAACCATTCATATAGTCCAAACTTAGTCTTAAAAGCAGTTTTCCACTCATCACCTTCCTTGATTCTAATTTGGTGATATCCACTTTTAAGATCTATTTTGGAAAATATGGATGACCCATGCAATTCATCAAGCATGTCATCAAGCCTAGGAATTGGGTGCCTATATTTTATTGTGATGTTGTTGATGGCTCTACAGTCACAACACATCCTCCATTTTCCATCTTTTTTTGGCACCAAGATGACAGGCACAACACAAGGGCTTAGACTCTTTTGAATCCAACCCTTATCCAACAACTCTTGTACTTGCTTCTCTATCTCTTTAGTTTCTTGTGGATTGGTCCTATAGGTTGGTCTATTGGGAAGACTAGCCCCAGGCACAAGATCTATTTGATGCTCTATTCCCCTAAAAGGTGGAAGTCCCACTGGGCCTTCACTAGGAAATACATCATCAAATTCTTTTAAAAGATTTTTAACTTCAAGAGGTAAAGAAGTTTCCAAAGAACTTGTGGCAGTGCATGTGAGTGTTCCTCTACACATGAGGATATGAGAAGATGGTTCAAGGAAGAGAGAAGTTTTGTGTATAGGGTTTGTGTTAAAAATATCTTCTTGAACTATCTCTAGAGAGGGAACACTAGTTTCTCTAGAATCCTCTTGATCACTAATTTTTAGAAGTTTTTTTTTTCAATTTTTTTTTTGTTTTTCCTTGCCTTTTTCTTGCTCACGTTTGGTCTTCATTTGGACTTGATCTTCCATCACTTGCGAAGGTGATAGAGGATGAAGCACAAACTTCTTACCCTTGTGAGTGAAAGTTATTTTATTGGTTAGGCCATCATGATGGGTTTATTTATCAAATTGCCATGGCCTACCCAATAAAATATGACAAGCTTCCGTAGGAACTACATCACATTTGAATTTATCTTGATAGTTCCCAATAGAAAACTCTACTTCCACTTGTTGGTTGACCACCATATCCCCATCATCATTAAGCCAATGAAGTTGATAAGGTTTGGGATGGGGTGTGGTAGTCAAGCCCAACTTTTCAACCATCCTAGTGCTACAACAATTGCACCAAGATCCACTATCCACTATGAGAGAACAAGCCTTGTTTGAAATATTACATCTTGTATGAAAGATGTTCTCTCTTTGGGATTGTGTATCACTAGGTTGGTTATTGAGGACCCTTCTCATCATAAGAAGTTCCCCATTGTAAGGGTAAGTGACCTCACATGACTCTCCCTCACTTGCTTCTTCTTCATCCTCACTTGAAGATGAAGAAGTAGTAGCTTCATCTTGGCTACTATAAATGTCTTGGCCCCTTAGAATCATGACCTTTTTATTAGGGCATTGAGAAGCAATGTGGCCTCTCCCAAGAAATTTAAAGCATTTTATGTCACTAGACTTGGTGCTAGTGTGTGAGGTGTTGTTCTTTTTTTCTTTTTCTTTACCCTTGTCTAGATTTTTGGAGGAGTCAAAAGCATTTTTCTTTTCAAAAGTATTTGTCTTGCCCTCCCTCTAACAAATAAAAAATTCAACAAGAACGACCCGTTCTGGTTGAAGAACGGGTCGTTCCAGATGAACATCTAACATAAAATTTAAAAAATAATGCGTACAAGAAACTTACCTCAAACGTTGAATGTGCAGCTCTTAGAGACTTAGAGAAACGTTGAATATGCAAACAAACGAACGAGAGAACGAATGAGAGAAACTTAGACAGTTTTTGCAAACAATGTGCGCGTGGGAAGATAGTGAAACGTTGGGGTATATAATCACTAATTTACGTCGGACAGGGGGGGTCCGACGTAAATTATACAATCTACGTCGACTATAAACACTGTCCGACGTAGATTGTATAATTTACGTCAGACCCCCCATGTCCGACGTAAATTAGTGACTCTTTATTTACGAAACTACCACCACATTTTTATAACGTGTATTTACGTTTTGCTGACGTAAATTAGGTGACGTAGTAACCTATTTTTGCACTAGTGAGAAAAAGGATTTCAGGAGTCAGAAGTCAAAATCCATGGTGTAATAGTCTTTTTATTTTGGCTTTTCAAGGGTCTTTGAAGGGCTAACACATAAATATTAATCTAAAGTCAATTATTAACACAAGTAAACATAAAAAAAAGGAACAAAAACAAAAGCACAAAAAAGAAAGAAAAAAAAATAGAGCTGCAAAAGCATGTTTGTTTAGGCACATAATTGAAACATAGTGAATCACATATTATTCAACATGATGGCCAAGGAAAGCAATTCTTTTCTCATACTTACGATATTAAAGATGAGGGAGGTTATCCAACATGAATTATTGAGTATGCGAAAGAAAGAAAATTATGAAATAATATTCATATGATAGGAAAATTAACATTCAACTCATTTTTTTTTCATAGAGTTCTAAAACACAACTTTTACTCTCATAGTTGCCCATTTATGTCACCAGAAGAACCATTTTGAACAGGACAGAATGAAAATGAAGAGGTAACAAGAAGCACAACACACATCGTGGTATGAAATTGATTACCGCAACCTTGTTGTGTAGCTCGTAAATAGATTCATTTTTCACCTTGATCTAATTCAGCTGCTACCGATCAAACGAGACAAAAAAAAAAAAAAATCAACTTTCACGTGCACCAGCTACTATAACAACAACACGCCATACAAAAAACAAAAACAAAATCAAAATCAAAATCAAAACACAAGCATTAGAAAAATAAATGAATAAAAATCAAGAAATTTTAAATTATTCACCCGCAACGTTACTGATTGGTCATCAACTTGTATCTCCTTTGTAAAAAAAAAAAAAACAACAACCCATGAGCTAAAATAAATTTTCTTTGATTATTTATAAGAAAGGGGGGAGAAGGTAAAAAGAATTTTAATCATACTATTATATTTCCAAAATTGTTAGACTTTCTCCGTTGGATGTTAAGGACTTTCTAATATTAATACAATTTGAATAGTGTGCAGGAGAAAGTATTTGCTGAGAATGTGACATGTGCACAAAGTTAATTTCTATTAAATGGTTCTTAAATATCTAAATTATTATAGATAATAGATATATATATACCATAGATAACACTCTAAAATCTTTTAAAACATAACAAATTTTTTTAAAAAATAAATTATTTATTCAAACCAGAGTTAGGCATAATTTGAACAGGATCAGGATCAGGATGATCACCAGTTCAAAGGAACTGCAAGGTCATGCAATTTTAAATCTAATGGTGTATACTTTTTTAACTTACCATTCATTTTATAGTTTAATTTGTGATTGGGATTCATGCAGTTGAATTCAACAGAAGAGAACCCAAATCCGTTTGAACCGATGCCATGTTTTGTGGAATGGAAAAGTTTTTTATTCCTTGAATTGATTCAACTGCAAAGATCGAGGCAAAAAAAAAAAAAAACCAAATATCCATATTTGATTCCTTTGTTTCACTTCTCACCCAACATAACCATCCCCCCAAATTCTCAATCACGTAAAATATTCCCAAGAATCCACTAAAATGCTACGTACACAACCCCAAAACATGAAAAACTGAAGAAAAAAAAAAACTCTACATTAGGAATCTTTCCTCTCCTCTTTGTTTGAAGGCACAATATTGTTTGAGCACAACATCAAGGACAGAAACACATTCCAAAGCTCAAAATCGTGTTTTGTGTGATCACTACGAGAAGGCAAGCCCTAAGAAATCAGAGGCTGACCTACCCATAACAGTGGCAAACTCATTGAAGCTAATGACACCATCACCATCCGTATCAGCCTCTGTGATCATCTCCGTGAGTTCTCTATACGTAAGGGGTTGGCCCATTTTGGCCATTGTTCCCGCCAATTCAGCCCTAGTTATATAGCCATTGCCATCACGATCGAAACATTTGAACACCCCACGTAGCATTTCTTGGTTCAACAAAATCTCTGCGCTTATGTCATGCAATATTGCATCCACCAACTCATCGAACTCTACGAAGCCGTTTCCGTTCGAATCCATGTTGGCTAATAACGCGTGAATGTCACCCGAGAGTTTTAGCCCCAGTGACCTAAGAAGCGCCTCGAGCTCCAAACTTGTTAGGCTTCCATCTGAATCCATGTCGAACCTCGTGAAGGTTTCCTTCAATTGATGGAGCTGGTCGACTTGGAGCTTCGACATTTTGTTCTCGATGTAATCCACGAAACAACAATGCAAGAGAGACATGCAATGCATGACCGAAATTAACGTGCCCCTCAAAAAAGGGGCAAAAAAAATGGGGCCAAAAATGTGGTTGGATTAGGGTTCTTGGCTATGTGCCCTCAAGTTTTCACTTGGAATCGAAGGGAATCGTGAAAAGATACTCTTTTGTTGCCTTTGATTGGTTTGATGTTAATACAATCTAATACTTTGGGTTTGTTGAACCAAACACACGTCAATTGAATACAGAACAATTTTGAAATTCGAACCGAACACAGAAATATAAGGGTAACAGGAGTTGAGGAAGAAAAGAGAGAGGTGCTTATTTTAGAATGATGCGATGAAGTGTCCTTGGATTTTTCAGGTCAGAGGTAACCTTTTATTTAATTTCTCTGATTTAGGAGACAGACTAGGAAGAGATAGCGCATAGTTGGCTTCATGTAACGTTGGAACAAACTAAGATTGTATCACCTTAGGTTTCCACAGATTCATTCTCATGTAATCATATCATACATATTAGGACTATTGATGTCATCACCCAATTGTATTGTTGTGCTATTTTTATCATCGAGTTCTTACAATTTTAGTTACTCATTGTAACTTCTTTTTTTTTTCTAAAAGAAATGTGATTTTTCTCATTTTTTATTTTTATTTTGGGAGGGCTAAGGCCTACAAAAATCAAAAGCCATAATGATAGGGTGGGGACTAGGCTATAATATTTTTGAATAGCGTTGGCACTTACATTTCCTTTTTCCTTTTAAGGACTCACTACAAGGAAAATGATAAATTGCGACAGATAAATTGCGACGGTTATATAGAAATCGTCGTCGTTTTGATATTATTTGAGTGGCATCTAGGATGCCAACAGTTGAATTGTGGTTGTGCTCTGATATTGTGACACCAGGGCAGAAAATTCTAGGATATAGATTTTTATATGTATTCTGAGTTATACCTTGTCTTTTGAAAACAATTTGTAAACTCTTAAGCCTAGGTCACTCTTATCCTTTAGCCTTGATTGGGAGGCTTCTGCTGATATACCTAAAAGTTGCACATCACTTAAGAGTTGAGGTCAATGGTAGTTTATAATCACCCTCCTCCCATAACTCATCGAAATATCTTTTTCAAGGAGAAAACTACAACGACCTAGTGAATGTTCCAACTGTAAGTCTGCTAATATTACTAGAGTTATCCCACCTGAGGTATTGTCTGCTTTAGCGTTCATTGGGTTGTCACATTTTTGTTCTTGAAAAGGCGTCTTGATGGGTTAAAAAGAGAAGGTATTTGCAAACTACCATTATCCTCGATTCCTAAGCAATGTGGAACTTTTAGGGATAGCAAAACATGTTTTAGTCGTAAGTCTGCTGACTTTGTTAAGGTCACAACATCTAAGGTATTGTCTATTTTGGCGCTTGTTGAGTCGTCACGCTTTTTTTCTTTGAAAGGCACATCAGTGGGTTAAGGAGATGAGAATTTATAAGTTATCCTTAGTCTTGATTCCTAAGTAGTATGAGACTTTTAGGCACACTAAAGCAAGTCTTGGTCGAGATTAAGGGGTAAGAGTGGCCTAGGCCCTCCTTCTAGCACCAATATTTTGATTATAAGCCTGTTGGCGTTGTTAGGGTCACCACATCTCAGGTATTGTCTGTTTTGACACTTGTTGGATCATCATAATTTTGTCCTTGAAAAGATGTCTCGGTAGGGAAGGTGTTAATAAACTACCCTTAGCATCGGTCCCTAAGTGATATATGGGAGTTTTAGGCATATCAAAACATGTTTTGATCATAAGTTCATTGTCATCGTTAGGGTTATCATGTTCGAGATGTTGTCCGCTTTAACACTCGTTGGACTATTACAATTTTGTCCATGAAAAGGCTCCTCGATGGGTTAGAGAGGCAAGGTGTTTATAAACTACCTTACCCTCGATTCCTAAACGATGTTGGACTTTTAGGCATACTGAAATAATTCCCTAATTGAGGCTAAGAGGCAATAGTGGTCTAGGCCCTCCTTTTAGTACCATGTTCCGACCATAAGTCAGCTGGCATTTGTAACAGCTCGATTTTCACAGATTGTTTGAGGGCCCAAAGGCCCAATAGAGGTGATTTAGTAGCCTAGAACACGGGCCGTTTCCAAATTGGAACAGGCCCTTCCAAACTACTAAAATGAGAGTGATTTTGTAGCCCAGAACGGGCTATTCCTAAACTGGAACGGGCCGTTCCAAAATACAAAAATTGTCTACAAATTTTAGATGGGAACGGGGCGTTCTAAATCACCAAAAATGGCTATAACCCTAATTGAGAACGGACCGTTCCAGATATGGCCGTTGTGGGTTAAGTGCAATCCCAGAACGGGCCGTTCTGGTTTGAGAACAGGTTGTTCTGGATGTGAATTTTACACATGTCGTTAGAGTCCAGAACGGGCCATTTCGGCGACGCCTGATGCTTATAAATAGAGCGCTCTGGCACTCCCAAAATCACACTTTTCAGTTCTGACTTCTTTCTTCTACATTCTCTTCTTTTCCTTCTACACTCTTTGAAGATCGAGGGGCACTCAGAGGAGGATACCAAGGAGATCTCTGTTTTAGTTTCAGCTACTGTTTATCCAGGTACGAGGGAAAAAGGGAGATTTATATGTAGAATTACATGAGGGGATTGGGTAGAGAAAGAGTCCCTTAGAATTATGGATAATTTTATAATTATTTTTGTTTGAGGAATTGATGATCCCAGTAGATTCTGTATGTGTTGAGGATTAGAAATATATATTTAATTTGTAAGAATGATGATCTGGGAGAGAGAACGAAATTGTAGAAAAGTGCCTGTGAGTTAGGTTTTGGAACAATTGGGGGTTTAACTATTTATGTTAAGATTATATTAAATGTGTAATTCCATTGATTATTATATTAATTGATAAAAAATGATGATTTAGATGTGAATTGCTTGAGGTGTATGAGATCCATTATTTTGTTAAATTTATTTGTTGTGTGTATGTGATATGGAATCAAACTATGAGATGAGATGTTGAATGAATGAGATGTGATTGTGGTCTTTCACACTTACGACCAAGGGTGAGCACGACCTTAGATTTTTATGTAGGTATCGTGACCTTAGATAACATGTCGGGGGTGAGCACGATCTTGGGCTAGATATGCTACAGGGGAAACGTGACCTTGGCACAGTGTTATATCAGGGGTGAGCACGGCCTTGGATTGTTACGTGGGTATCGTGACCTTGGATAACATGTCGGGGGTGAGCACGACCCTGAGCTAGATATGCTACAGGTGAAACGTGACCTTGGCACAATGTTATATCAGGGGTGAGCACGACCTTGGATTGTTAAATGGGTAACGTGACCTTGGCATAGTGTGAAGGGCAAGATTTGTGAGGATCGGTGTGATTGCGAATTATGACATGATGATGATGCATGATTGATCGAGTTATGATATGTTGAAATGTTTATGAATATTTTATTAAGTATAAAGTTATAATGAGACGATATGTTGCATTTTCCTTATGTACTTTATATATATAGATGCTTTCTTTTCTCACCGTACAATTTGTGGATGTTTTTGGTGAGGAAGATCCGGCTTTGAGTGGCATCTAGGATGCCAACAGTTGAATTGTGGTTGTGCTCTGATATTGTGACACCAGGGCAGAAAATTCTAGGATATAGATTTTTATATGTATTCTGAGTTATACCTTGTCTTTTGAAAACAATTTGTAAACTCTTAAATTTTACCTTCCAAGTTTTATTTCCAGTTACTTTGGATGTTGAAGAAAGAACAGTTATGAAGTTTTATGTGAACCCTTTTACCAACTTCGCAATGTTAATATAGAGGCAGTTAGTGCGTTGGGTGCTTTAGGGGTCGCAATTCTAATTTTGCGACGGTTTGTGCAACGGTTCTGATAACCGTCACAAAATTGCCTTGTGATGGACAATTCTGCGACAGTTCTTAAACCTTCGCAATGTTGTCTTTGCAGCAGTTCTAACCGTCGCAATGTAGGCCATATAAGCGTCGCAAAATCGTCATTTTCTTGTAGTGACTAGCTCTTATATTTCTTGATGGTCTAACATTGAACTGAGGTTTGAAAATGGTCTTGCCTTTTTTACTTTAAATAAAAAAAATCTTTGACTATGTAACAAATACCACAATTGAAACCGTGCATATTTTGATAACGAATATCAATTTTTTTTCATCTTTTTAACAAAATACAATCAAATATAAACTAATATTTTAGCAATAAATATTTATTTTTATGTAATTAAAATTAGTAGTTTATACACATTCTTCCTTCTTACAATCAAAGGACATTAGCGCTAGCATGAGGGCCTAGGTCACTCTTATCCTTTAGCCTTGATTGGGAGGCTTCTGCTGATATACCTAAAAGTTGCACATCACTTAAGAGTTGAGGTCAATGGTAGTTTATAATCACCCTCCTCCCATAACTCATCGAAATATCTTTTTCAAGGAGAAAACTACAACGACCTAGTGAATGTTCCAACTGTAAGTCTGCTAATATTACTAGAGTTATCCCACCTGAGGTATTGTCTGCTTTAGCGTTCATTGGGTTGTCACATTTTTGTTCTTGAAAAGGCGTCTTGATGGGTTAAAAAGAGAAGGTATTTGCAAACTACCATTATCCTCGATTCCTAAGCAATGTGGAACTTTTAGGGATAGCAAAACATGTTTTAGTCGTAAGTCTGCTGACTTTGTTAAGGTCACAACATCTAAGGTATTGTCTATTTTGGCGCTTGTTGAGTCGTCACGCTTTTTTTCTTTGAAAGGCACATCAGTGGGTTAAGGAGATGAGAATTTATAAGTTATCCTTAGTCTTGATTCCTAAGTAGTATGAGACTTTTAGGCACACTAAAGCAAGTCTTGGTCGAGATTAAGGGGTAAGAGTGGCCTAGGCCCTCCTTCTAGCACCAATATTTTGATTATAAGCCTGTTGGCGTTGTTAGGGTCACCACATCTCAGGTATTGTCTGTTTTGACACTTGTTGGATCATCATAATTTTGTCCTTGAAAAGATGTCTCGGTAGGGAAGGTGTTAATAAACTACCCTTAGCATCGGTCCCTAAGTGATATATGGGAGTTTTAGGCATATCAAAACATGTTTTGATCATAAGTTCATTGTCATCGTTAGGGTTATCATGTTCGAGATGTTGTCCGCTTTAACACTCGTTGGACTATTACAATTTTGTCCATGAAAAGGCTCCTCGATGGGTTAGAGAGGCAAGGTGTTTATAAACTACCTTACCCTCGATTCCTAAACGATGTTGGACTTTTAGGCATACTGAAATAATTCCCTAATTGAGGCTAAGAGGCAATAGTGGTCTAGGCCCTCCTTTTAGTACCATGTTCCGACCATAAGTCAGCTGGCATTTGTAACAGCTC